AAGAAGAAAATGATACACACTAGAAGGCTATGTTTATCATGGTTTTGTTTGTATTAAGATTGTTAATGTTAAGTGTATTGGCCTTTTTTTATGTGATTATATTTTTTAGCTTCACATAATAAGACAATAAAGTGGATTTTTCTTCACTAAAATAATTTTTTTTTTACATTTTTGTAGACCACATCTAACTAAGGTGCATCTAAAAAGTAAAAAATGTTTAAATTTAAAAAAATATTACTAAAGGAACGCAATAAGAAATATAAAAATTTAATAAATTAATTCCAACAATCAAAATGCAACATAAAACATTCACGATAAAATTCATATTATCATTATCAAAAAAACTTAAAATTTCAAACTTACTTCATACCTCAAATCACCAAAAACATACTTACAAATTAAAGTTACACAAAAATTACAAAAATGACAATAAAAAAAATAAAAAATAATATACAGAAGAGTACAAAGAGTAAGTAAATTTAACATTTACAAAAATATAAGCAAAAAGTACTTAAAATAACCAAAATTACATCAAAAAAAGGTTACTACCCCAAAATTTCTTCAAAAAAATGTCAATGTGGCCTTTGAGGGCTTGAACAATTTTGGCAGCTCAATCCCACCACACATCGAACATATACAACACAAAAAAGCTTCAAAAGTCAATAGGAGTCATCACCTAAGGGCCAAGGCCTTGGGAGTTGTCTCTCGCAAACTCCGACCACACCCCTTCCTCCTTTACTTTTATATTTAATAAAATTTTATAAAAAATAAAAATTTACCGAAAAGAAAGACCACGCTCTCTTTTTGTCACCAGAATCTCTTTTTGGTAAGTAATGTGAATAGTAGATAAAATATTAGGAATTATTTTATAAATGAGGATTGTAGATTTTTAAAAATGAAAATATAATAAAAAATAAAAAAGATGAAAAAAGGAGGAAGATAAAAAGGAATAAAAAATTTGTCAATCAACATATTTTATATTTTTTTCATCACCCTGGCTTAATTTTGTTTATTTTATTTTTGGATATACCATAATATGTAATTTTATAGAACACAAAGCTGCAATGACAAGTTACTTATAAAGCCTTCTCCGTTTGGGAGAAGGAAAGTTTGGGGCTAAAAGATAGCCATTAAGACAAAATGAGTTTTTAAAGCCTAAATGATAAGGAGATGGTACAACATATATCCAACAATAATACTAAGTCATCACATACACATGCAAAGTTCAATCATTAATATTAAAAATAATAATTAAATTATTCATTCATTCAAGAAACTCTAAAAATTTTAACTAATTTTCTCTACCAAAATAGTTTCAAATCGAGAGAGAGTGTCATAGAGAAACAAACACTTAAAGAATTTGAGCCTCATTACACTGAATAACGGAGAGTTAACTAACATCCATTGTTATTTTTAAGTGTACACCTTTGATAAAGAGATAATTTAAAGAAATGCACAAAAAAAAAGTTTGAATTCTAAAACATCAAACTTTTTTTGATGATCCCTCCAAATAACTTGAAAATTCAACTTTTAACTAAAAAAAAGTATACTAAAAAAAAATCAGTTTTCTACTTTATGCTTGAGAAGAGAAACCATATTTGAGAGAGAATAATGGGCTTTAGAAGGTGTGTTCGAGATCGAAGGACGTTCTACTAGTGATAAGAAAGACAACTTAATTATCATTCTAAATGTTTGGAGATTTTATTTTGAAGTTCCAGGGAGCTAGCGCGTGGAAGAGAGTCGAGTATTAATAGTCAAAAGGAGGGTTAACAACATAACATATATTATCTATGGGTGGATTTACTTTCACACACATTGAAATAATTTGTGTAATTAAGAGAGCATTTTTCGTTATTGGGCATAATAAAAAGGTACCACTTTTCCAATTAAAATTTTTATTTATTAAAAATTAAATACAAAATTTTTCAAACAATAAACAATAATTTATATGTCCATTATATTTTATTTCATTATTATTATTTTTAGTCTAGTGAAATAAATTCACTTACTTTATAATAAAAATTAAAAAAACCAAAAATTCAAAAATATATCACAACTTATTATAGTACATCCCAAAACAATTACTTAATTTAGATTTTTTATAATTTTTTTTTTCATTCACAAAATCTATTCCGAACACTAATGCATCAAGAGATGAGATTTGGTTTTGTATTGAGTAAATATAAACCATTTTTCACACCTTTGGATGTTGTGAATTTCACACTAATATTATGTAATTAACTAAAATTATGTGTTAAAATTGTATTAATTAATAAAATATAAATAAAAGTGGAATCCCATCGAATCTTTCACACAATTCAAGGTGTGAAAATGATATTGTTGGGACTCAACCACAATTTCCAACATTTGAGTGCTTCTATCAAAACGTTTCGATGAAATTTCATTTTTTTCATGGTTTCTCTTTCTCAAGCATGAGAATTTTTTTTATTTTTTTTTTAAAGTAATAGTAGAGATCTCAAAAATTTTATCAAATTTTTTATCAAATTTTTTTCAATGTCTTACATGGATGTGAAACTCACATATGACTCACATAGTGTGTTTCTCACACCCATTTGAAACATTTGGTAGAAAATTTAGTAAATTTTTAGAGTTTCTAATATTATTATTATTATTTTAATATGATGGGACTTGCATGTATGATGAGATGTGAATAACATATGTATATAAATAAAAAATAAAAAATTAAGGTGAAATAAAATTTGATGACAATTTTTTATTTTTTTTCCCTTTACTTATTATATTCACTCATTAATTATTTTTTCACATCTTACTTACCAAAAAAGAGGATTCTGGTGACAAAGGAGGATTTGGTTTTTATTTATAAAATTTTATTAAATATAAAGTAAGAGAAGGGGAGTTCAACCTCCAACCTCCCTTAGGAGAGGGTGGGTTGGATTGATGCAATCAAGCCCAAAGGCCATTGACATTTGATTTTGGTTTTGATTATGAAATACTTTTTGTAATTTTAAAGAAATTACACCTGTACTTCTGTATTTTTTTTTTTATGTCATTTTAATTTTTGTAACTTTAATTGTAAGTATGTTTGGTTTAGTTTTTTGAATTAAGTTTTTTTTGAAAACTGAATTTTTGATTTTTGTATTCTTTTGTTTTTAGTGAATATTTTTTAAATTTTAAACATTTTTTTACTTTTTTAGATGCACCTTAGTTAGATGTGTCTAAAAAGTAAAAATTTTGTGAAAAAATATTTTAAAAAATTAATAAATACATAAAAATACAAAAAAATGTACTGAATTCTTGTATTTTTTTTTTTGTATTTTTGGTATTAGTGAATTTTTAAAAGATTTTTTTACAATTTTTTACTTTTAGGTGTATTTATGTTAGGTGTGTCTAAAAAGTAAAAAAATTGCTTAAATTATTAAAAAAATTCAGTAAAAACAAAAAAAAAACACGAAAAATAAGAAAGATAATTTCTGAAAAGTATTTTTTGAAAAATGAAACAAGCAAGCTGATTAATTTTATTCTTCACGTTGTGTTAGTTTAATACAATTAATAACATCCCTTTAAAAGTTGGACTAAACTAAAATTAAAGAATCAAATAGTTAATTAAATTGTCTCAAAGTATAGAGAGCTATGTCTAATTTGAAATAACCATCCCCTTTAACTGAATCATTTTACCCTTAATTTCTTAACAAATGTTACTAGTTAGAACAAATCGATACAAGTGAAATAGAAGTGATCAAATATGTACAAAATGTAAATTATGAGAATTAAATGTTTAATTTTTTACTTAATTTATATATTTTTAAATAGGTAGAAATGTGGAAGGAGAAAATAGTAGTTGGGCCATAATGGTGTTAGTTATTTTGGAAGGAATAGTGATTCTACAATTGGTGACTAGTTGCAGGTCTCTAATTTGGACTAGATGGATGATGTGCCCTAAATTGAAATGATTTAAAATGTGGGTTCAAAAAAGAAGAAAAAAAATTAAAATGCATGGTAGAGATTTATTTTTTTAATCTATACTGTAATCTAATGTGATAATTTTGATGGAAATCTTTACGTTTCGAGCGTTATGTGTCATTTATGTGACACAATTTCTGTATTCCTAGCAAAAGTTCAATTTTGACCACAAAACTTATTAATTGTACAAATAGAAATACTATTATTTGGAAAAGCTTTAATGTGAATGATAAATTTTATAAAAAAGATATAAAAAAAAATTTAATTTATGTAGCATTACTCATCCGAGTACAAGTCTCCTTCTTTTATTGTTTTACTATGAGTCTATGATCATCCACAATTTTCTTTATTATATAAGGCTCAATTTA